CCAAAATATGGAGAATAAAAATACAAGCACTTCATGCTAAAAAGCAAACAAAAAAATTGGTGTAAATCCAAAAGTATTTAAATGTTTCCAGTTTGGATAATTTGATTAAGAGCCTATACAAGTTTGTTCCCAGAAGCATTAGCTTCTTTCTAATTCTCATTCTACTGGACCTCCGGCACACCTGACATGGATAGTATTCCCCTCCCATCCTGAAACTCTTTCTGCCTTTGGCTACTATAATAATATCATTTTGTTCTAGTTCTTGTCCCATTCCTTTAACCTGTCTTTTTCAGTGTCTATTATCCTTCAAACAATGATGCTTCTTCTGGGCAATAGCTCTTCTCTTCTTATAGTATTACCATCCCATACTAAGGTTTCAAATATCCCCCCATATATTCTCTCTTGACTCTCAAATTTATGTATTCAGTCCCAACCTTTCACCCAATTTTCAGACCCAATTTTCCAGCCATATCTGAAAAAAATCTCAAACTGAAGTTGTCCAAAATCAAATCTATTACCACTCCTCAAAACTGCTTCTTTACTTTCTTTATTTCCATCAATACCACCAATTCAAACTAAGCCAAGTCAGAAATCCCTCACTTAGGGACGAAAAAAAAAAAAAAAAGAGCCAAGTTTAAGGCTCTGTAATCCTAGCTCCTTGGGAGGCTGAGATCAGGAGGATCAAGGTTTGAGGTCAGCCAGGGCAAATAGTTCACAAGACCCCTATCCAAAATAGCCAAAGCAAAATAGACTGGAGGTGCAGCTCAAGCAGTACAGCACTCTCTTTGCAAGTATGAAGCCCTGAGTTCAAACCTCAGTTCTAAAAAAAAAGAGGAAAAAAAAATCTATTTCAAAACCTCTTGGAATTGTGCTCTTCCCTTCATTTTCTTGCCACTAATCCAGTCCATTTTCTTACCCAGCTTAGCACACTGGTTTCTTGCCTAAGACTTGCCTCCACAGTCAATTTTCAATACTTCATTCACATTTTCACCAGAGATAATCCAATCATGTCAAACTGCTAAATAAACCTTCAATACATTCTTACAGAATAAAGATCAAACCCTTTGGCAAGTTTTTCTCAAAGGTATAAATAAAAATTATTAATTTTAAATTAGACAAACCTGGGCTTCATTTCTGGCTAAATCTGAATAGAGGTTTAGTCTAGGGTCTTCAAGATGCAGGGTAAAAGGCAGAGGAGGGAAAAAGAGAAGGGAAGGGAAGGAAGTCTGTTTCTTTTGGGAGGAATGAACACGTTTGATGGAAGTGAAGGAGTCCAGATCTGGAGGGAGGAGCAGGTACTGAGATGCGGAGGCTCTCAGTGGGCAGTTGTATATTTATGAAACAGGAGTTCTCCGAGGAACACGAAGGTTTCCAGGATCTGGGAAGTAAGGGAGGTCCCTAAAAAAAGTCAGCCACCAGATGCCTGAGTGAAGTAACTTCTAGTGGGTTCCCAGCCTCTGAAGGGAGAAAAGGCGGGCCCGTCCCGGGACCCTGGGGAAGTGAGAACGGAAGGGGAAAGGGGCCGAGAGGGGAGTGCCCCCTGTGGCTGCCAGGAGGACCCCTACTAAGCCACGGGGTCCTCTCTGGTGTTAAGCAACCCAGGCGCCAAGGCTCCGAGACCAGGAAGGTGTAGCAGCCGCGCGCACGGACCAGGATGCCCTGGGTTCGGACCCCATGCGCGCTCTTGACGTTACCTGAGGCGGGAATGAGCAGCCGGACGGGTGCCTGCGCGGGCTGGAGTGGAAGGTGGCGGCCAAGAGGGAGCATAGTAGCCCTGGCAGCTGTGTGGCCGCAGTGGCTTTTTAGCCTGCGGAGGCGGTGAGGGTCCCTCGAGCAGAAGCCGGCGATTCCGCGGGACTACAAGCGGCGGAGGACCAGAAGGCTACTGCCATGGCCCCACAGTCGGGGCTGCTCCCCCCGCCTATTTGGCGGGGCCAAGAGAAGGATCAGAGCAGCGAGACCTACAAGGCAGCTGGAAACTCCGCTGGGCTCCGCGGCTGCTAGCGACTGAAACGCCTGGGGCAAGGGAGTTGGGAGGCGGGGCCGCTGCGGGCCACGCCCCTCTCCGAGAAGCCAATCAATTGCCGGCCCTTAATAAACGAGCTAGTGGAATTACCCAATTAGCGTTAAGAATGCCACGTGGTATGAGGGTGGGCACAATGAGCGTCCAGAGAAGCCAATCAACAGCCCTAGGCGCCAACTCTTAGAGGACGAAGGGAACCAATAAGAAGAAAGTGGAAGCAAAAACAGAAGAGGCAGTGTGTTGAAAAGGCGGAACCCTAAAGGAGAGAATACACCTGAGGGAAACCCAAGTCCAAGGAGTCTCTTAGAGGGCGGGACAGTAAACAGAAGATGGACCAATCAAAATGCCAAAGATAGAAGGGTTAGGTAATTGATAAGCCCAATAGAACATGGGCTACACTGGCGCGGCTTTTGGGTTGCTCAAGTTGTAGCTGAACCCTATGAATGCAGTGTCCTGCAGGATCTCAGTATAGTGAGAGGGAAAAACTGATACATGATTATTACGGACTTAAGATAGTAACCACAGTAAGTAGAGCCAAACAAACATGCTGAGGGAACAATTCATCTATACCACGAAAGATCGAATTCAATGAAGGCTTAAAGGATATAACTTAAGGTAGCATTAAAAACAGGATTTTGAAATAGCTGAATGGGAAATAAGAATTCTATCCAACTGTTCAACAGGCACATACTTCCCCATGCTTTGCCGATGTGTGGACCCCAGGAGATCAAAATCTTATGTCTGAGTAGACTGCAACAGGAAAGAAGAGCAGGCAGATACAGTGACCTTACTGTTCCACCACTCCCTGAAGTTACAGACGGCCTTCAGAAATCTTTAGACTTCTCTTCTCCTGGGAGATGCATGGACTATAAATAGTTGGAGTAGGAATTAAGATGTATCTCAATGGTAGAGCGTATGCCATGTGTGAGGCCCTGGGCTTGATCCCCAGCACTTCAAATAAAATAATAATAATAATTGGAGTACAAGTGATCCCAGTGACAATTAAGGTTAAGAAAGATTAGTGGTAGGAAATAATATTGGTAAGAGAAGCCGAATGTGGGTTGGGTTTAAAAGCAAAATTTGTCTTTTGTTTTTTATTTTTTGAGAGCATGACCATAATCTAAACAGTGCACTATTTTAGGAAGATTAATTCGTAGCTCACAGAATCTCTGAAGGTAGAAAAGAGATCACACCAGACCAGTCCCTCTAACCCAAAGCCTTTTCAGTATCATTCTTCTGGCAACAAATCATGTGCTGCCACCTGGTGACAATTCAAAGACCACTGTTTCCCAGGGCTGTTTAATATTTCTGTTGTGAAAGAGCTAGCACCCCAGCAAGCCTGTCTCCCTCAGAATTTAATGCAAAGTAGTTGATAAGTAGAGAACTGGTAGCAATTAGAGCCAAATGAATCACCTGCCCAATGAAAGATGGTAAATGACAGAAGTTGCTTGTGCTTCAGAAGGAAGATGAGAGCCAGGCACTGGTGGCTCACGCCTGTAATCCTAGCTATTCAGGAGGCAGAGATCAGGAGGATCGCAGTTCAAAACCAGCCCAGGAAAATACTTCTCGAGACCCTATCTGGAAAATACTCAGAACAAAAAAGGACTGATGGAGTGGCTCAAGTGGTAGAGCACCTGCCTAGCAAGCATGAGGCCCTAAATTCAAGAACCAGTACCACCAAAAAAAGATGAAGTTAGATACAAGATTTTTGTGTTTTTTTTTTTTTTTAAACTGGGTCGGTTGAGTCTGAGTTAGGACTGATCTTTATCACTCCACTCTCAGCAATTCCCAAATGCTGAGGGGAAAAGAACTAAGAACTTCCACATAGTTATTCAGGTGTCTAAGGCTCTCTTTCTATGACTGGTCTGCCAGTTAGGCCAGGGCCTTAAATATAACTGAAGGTAGTTCCTGTCCTACCTAAGCCTTTTATTATGCTTTTGTTTCAGATTACTGTCTCCTTTTCCACTTGATCCATGCTTCCAGCCCAAAGGCTATTTTGCCTATGTTTACCAGTGAAAGAAACTTCATGGGACTGGAGGCATGGCTCAAGTAGTAAAGCACCTGCCTAGCAAGGATGAGTTCAAACTCCAGTACCACCAAAAAAAAAAAGGGAAGCCTCAGGGATATGCTGCTGGTTCTTAGGAAATCTTAGACTGTATTGTCTAGAATACAAAGCCCAAGTAAGATGAAAAGTATAGCTGTCCTTCATCACCTAGGAAAATATACTTTCTAGAGAGCAACCACATGGCAGAAGAACCAGGATCATTAGCCACAAGGCATTTTTTTAATGAAATATAAAAGAAATGAGTGGTACAAAATGTGCCCAGCATGTGTGAAGCCCTGGGTTCAATCCCCAACACTGAAGAAAAAAAAAGGACGTATCACTCCTAGTAAGAATAAGTATTGAATCATGAATTTTGTATTTCTTACTGGAAGTCACAGTCAAAAAGTTCTGAAGGTGATTAGATTAGAGACAGAGAAACTGAAAGACCAGGCAAGAGGCTATTATACAAATACAGAATGGGTTGCTGTGGATGAGGAGGTGTGGAAAGGCTATAGGGAGCCTCAAGACTTAGAAGCTGGAGATGAGGAAAAGAAGTGACAGATTGCCCAGGTCCAGAGCCCACCAGAATATCTTACCCTTCTCTGCAACCCCACAGCACTACTGCCTCAAAGTAATAACCCAGCTTATTCTACTCACCAGAATGGGAGTTTTTATCTCTTTTCAAGCTCACCTGAGTTTGTACTCAGGATGTACAGCTATAAATGTCTATAAACTCAGTATTTAGAGGTAGAGGTCCAGGAAACAGTCAAGTAACAGGAAAAATAAAAAGATACAGCTGAGTCTATCCCATGTAGGTTTATTCACAGAAAACACATCAGGGAGGGTTAAGCCACTTTATTGCAGTTGGAAAGCAGAGATAGGTGAGCAGTGAGAAGCCTCAGAGGGCACACACCAGTTTTATCAAGAGAAAAAGGGGAAGCTGCCCAGAAATAAGCCTTGGAGGAAAGGGTAGGAAAGAAGGCTTCATTTCACTATGCTTACAAATCCTTACAGGTCAATCAGGAGCATCTTGGGGTCCTCAAGAAGAGTTCCTCTTTCTCAAGACTCTGGGCATGGAGCCAAATGCTGATGAGCTCCAGGTTAGAAAGGGTGCTGTCCTGGAGATCTAAAGGGAAGGAAAAGGGAAGACAAAAACAAACCATCAATAAGCACTGTGACATGCACAGAACTAGTCCCCTGTTTGATGGGGACATACAGGCCTGATTTAGGATAAGTAATAACAGAGGTAAATGGATTCACAAAGAAAAGGGCAGAGACTCCGTTCTACCCAGTGCTAAGCAAGTAGACAGATGCCATTCAGTCAACATTCAGATTCAGCCTCCCCTAGACCTGGGATCCCTGCCCTTACTCCCACCTAGTTTCCTTAAAATTTCCCAGCTACTGCTACTGTCTGGAAGACTGACATGGCGAAGGTGGTGGTCAGGGGCAGCTTAGATTGGAAGACATGAATTGAGGTCCTAAAAACAAGAACAGAATCAGAGGCACATGGGTGATAATGGTCTAGGAGGCCCTCCTAGCAAAGAACTGTCCTCTTTCTGAGGCTGGGACTCCAGTCTCTTCCCTCGTTATCATCCAGACATATAAAGATATCTGACTAACTCTGTATCAAGTAAAGAATGCCCAATGCTGCCCTTATGGAATGCAACCTTATGGAATACAGTCCCTACTAGCTTCGGCCAAATTTAGGATAAGTTAACTTTAGTCCCCAGTATCTAATCTCTGTAAGACAAATCCCTTCTACTGCTATAGCACCCACACCTTCTGACCTGAGGAAGTTGTGTTCCTGCTAGTCATCCTGAGCCTCTGTCCTGGCAGCCTCCAGAGTATGACCCTTGCCCTCCTGGACACTTTGCAGCTGCTCCAACATCTGCCAGACCACGGGCCCAGGTAGGACCAAACCTCTCCCTCTTCAGGAAGAAACCCTTCCTCACAATTGGTCTCCTCAGTACACTTGGAATCCTCATGTGGGCAAGGACAGTTTTTCATGGTATAGAGCAAAGGGATTGTAAAGAAGAGAGGGGTTTTGTTTTGTTGTTTGTTTTGTGGTGACGGGGATGGAACCCAGCACCTTATGCACACTAAGCAAGTGCTCTACCACTTGAGCCATACCCCAGTCTGAGAAGGGTTTTGGAGAGAGGTGGAGTTAGCACAGGGAAGAGTGGAGCTGATAGACGGTATCCTGGATAAACAGAGGAAGAACAGGGCCTCCATGAGGAAATATGTGGAGACAGGTCTAATCTTGGTCCTACCTTCCAGCTGCGGGCTTGAACCTGGCGCCCCTCTTCCACCTGTTTCAGCAGCAGCTCTTGGTGTTGGCCTGCAGAGGAGAGAGAATGTGAGGGGGCTGTTCAACTTCTTTTCTTCTCCTTCCTTGCCTGTGACCAGCCTGGCACTGAAAACTGAGACAAAAGCATTCTGATCAAGCTGTTGGAAAGCTTCCAAGCTGACTGGAGAAACTAAATCACACCATGACAGTCAAAGGGCAAGACAAAATGCTTTGCTAAGAGCTGGGACTGTAACTCAGGGGTATAGCATGTGCAAAGACCTGGATTCAAGTCCCAGCACCGCAAAAAAAAATTATAATAAAAAATACTTTGCCAAACTTAATAGTTCAAGCAGGCAGAGATATAACCACTTACTGGGAGAGCAAGAAGGCATTTCAGAAGAGGACAAGGAAACACATACTCTCAATCTTTTACTTACTCAGCTGGTCCCGCAGCAACTTCAGTTCCTCCCGCAGAATCTCTGACTCTTTCCATAAAAGTTGCCGCCTACAGAAGTGACAGCAGTGTCATTCTAGAGTCAAAGTGAGGAGGCCATCAGCCTCTCAGAATGTCACAAGTTCAGAGACCTCAGAAGGTAAGGTCTTGCCCATCACTCACTCAGTCTGCAGCTCCTGATGAAGACCACTGGTAGAACTGCACTTTCCTGCTCTTGTTTTCATTTGAGCTTGGGCTAGCTCCTGCACCTGGCTCTGAAGGCCCTGCAGTTCCCTTCTCAGCCCCTCTAGGTGTTGCTCCAGGAGAAGGGTTCGCCCTTCTGGGAGCCCTGCAGCAACCTTAGTGATGCTGGAGTAGGACAAGTTGATAGTCAACCCTTCTGAGAGCTTCACACATGAGCCCAGACAGTACTTAAAAATTAAACACACTTGTGTGTTTGCACACACAAGTATACAGCAAATTTGTTTGCACACATATAAAGCTGTGTGAGGGGCTGAATGTCTAGCTCAGTGGTAAAGCACATGCTTAGCATGCTCACATCAAAAAAAAAAAGACCTGATACCTTCCAGGACATTGATCTTGTACATCTGCTGCTCTCGTTCTTCCAGGAGGCCCTGCACAGCCCGCCTTAGAGCCTCAGTCACCTACCCAAGCAGAAAAAAAACACATGAGCTACTGTGAATACTAGGAGTAGTCTCATCTCACACAAACACCACATATACACACGTAGGATTCCAAGGCTCACCTGAGCCTGAGATTGAATCTGAGATCGGAGAATAGTAACTTCATCCCAGAGAGAGGAACGACCGTACCTTAGTCTGTTTGGGACAATGGGAGTCTTTAGAACCCAATGCTGTTGGGTTTCTGACTGGGAAGGAAAACGATGAGAGGAAATACAGGATCCAGCCAGGTTCCCTGCTGGGGGAATAAGGAAGGACAATGGAAGGGTGTGGAAGAACAGAGTTCAGGAAAGGAAATACAATTTGGAAGAAACAGTGGATGGTATGGGCACTGAAAGAACGTAGATCTTGGAAAGAGAAAAGGCTGGAAGTAGAAAGGAACAATACTTACTTGTAGTGGACACTTCAAGGGGACACAGCCTCTGCTACAAGGGAAAGAGTTCCTCAGGACCAATGACCTCTGAGTGTCCTTTAACCTACCCCCATCTAAAACAAAACAAAACTGGGAGGTTCTAGTACCCCCTCACCTTAATCCGGGCCATATTTCCATCAGTTGCATTTAGAAGTGCATCGAGCTGCTCAGACCAACTCAGGCTTGTATTCATATTCCTGTGGCAGGGGTCTTGCTCCCTGAATTTTTGTGTCCTTATTCTCCCTGCTGGGAATACCCGAGTTACAGCCCAGGAAAGGCCACAGCGTTAGATGGGAAAAGGAGAGTAAGAATGTAATAGTAGCGATAAGGATGCAATATAACACCAAAACTGCGACTCTGGCACTAGACAAGGAAAATGCGTTCTTGGGAAAGCGGGGAGAAAGCGGGAACACCTTGATACTCATATATCAAGTGAGAGCAAAAGGCGCCGAATCTTGGTTGACGGTGCCAGGACACTGGTACCATGACACCAAACCCGTGTCAGCGACTACTGCCGCTGCTGAGTTGAAACCCTCCAGTAGGTGGAGAAAATACGACTAAAGATTGAGTGCCGCAGGGCCACCTGGGAACGGAGTCGGCCTCTTGAGCACACAACCACAGTTGGAAAAGGCGGAACCACGTTTCCCTGGAAACGACCGGTGCGATCATACCCCGCCCCTCGTGAGGCTTATCGGGATACCGAGTCTTTCAGACGCTGTAGTGTTGTGCTCCAATGAACAAAAGAACTACGTATCCCGAGATGCATCGCGCAGAGCCAACTCTGTCCCGCAGCTGGTCCCAGTAGCTCCTGGGAAACGGAGTCTACGCTGCCTTGAAACCTAACGGCCTAGTTATCTTTGAGACTCCATTCCCCAGCAAGCTCAGCGTGCAGCGTGCGCTATGGAGCCTAATGTCGCAGAGCTGAAGCAGAAGATTGAGGACACATTGTGTCCTTTTGGCTTCGAGGTTTACCCATTCCAGGTTAGTTTATCCCTTCTGCGGTCCTAGGGTGAGCTACAGCAACCAGCGTGAGACCCCGGGTGCCTTCTTATCCTTCCCAAACTCCTGCGGCCCGGTGGCCGTCTAACGACTAGGACAGAGGTGTCAGCTGGGGCTTGGGTTAAAAAGGTAGAGAAGCGGTCACACGTTTGTCCTTTTACTCCCATATGATACCATATTGATGAATGGGAGTTATCATATGATCTCGTAACCTGTGTGGCTTTGTCACCTACACAATTTGCAGGAAGAAAGATACCCCCTATGGGGCCAAAATCACCTTGGAAAGCTTCCAAAAGAAGTTAGGAAAGGGTAAGATATGGAAGGTTTGCTTGGTCACGATTTGGGTCAGCTGAGGAGAGAAGGACATTCCCGGTGTTGAACAAGAAACAATTGACTGGTTTGTTCCATCTACCAACAGAAGGATAATTCATGATGTTGCTAATAATTGGTGCAGGGCTGGGTATAGAAATTTCTGTGCACCCGACTGGCACAGAAGTCTCCACAGTCCTCTTCTTGCTCCACCCCACTCCACCCTTTTTATATAAGTCCATTTCACCCACATCAGTGCAGGGTGCCCTGTGCAGTACACTTAAGACACAAAGCTAAATGAACTCAGCCTAATGCTTAAGAGACAGCTTACTTCCAACTTATTTAACAGCAGTGCCAGGGTGTGTGTGGAGCAGTAAGATACAGAGGGACAAATATGTTGGGTCTAGCTTAAGAGAGGACTTGCCAGAAAAAAAAAATTTAAAAATGACGTCTGGGGCTACAACTCAGTGGTAGAGTGCTTGCCTAGCATGGCACAAGGCTCTGGGCTCAAATTAAGCATGCCTACCCCCCCGCCAAAATAAATAAATAAAAGCAACTATGTGTGAAAAGACAGATTGGAAAAAGGAGGATTATGTACATTCCAAACATCTGCTTGAGTGTGGAGGTAGTTAGTGATGGATGGCAAGTGTAGGAGAGAATGAGAATGTCTTATTTGGCAAGGCAGGTGGACCTAGGTAATGGGAACTATTGTACTGACCAGTCATCTGCAGACCTGCCAGTCATTCTGAGGTCCTACAGCTCACCTCCCCACCCCATATGGAGTCAGCCACCAAGACCTTCGCCTCCTGAACCTATTAAATCCATTCTTTTCCAACCCATCAATCTGGGAACCATTTCTCATTTGGACTACAGTACCTTTGCTGTCAGATCAAAAACTGATCATATTTTTATCTTTTTTTTTTTTAATTGGTGCTTGAGCTACACCCCCAGTCCTTTTGTTTTCAGTTTGTTTTTGAAATAGTGTCACACCATTACCTTTGCCCAGATTGGTCTTAAACTTGCTACTTTCTGCCTCCACCTTCCAAGTAGCTGGGATTATAGATAGATACCACCATGCCTGTCTTTCAGTTTACTCTTTAATATTCAGTGCCTCCTCATTGTCACCAAATTATATCCATAGTTCTTACACCTGACTGCTATGTAAAAATAATAGTATGCCAGGTGCTAGTGGCTCATGCCTGTAATCCTCGCTACTCAGGAGGCAGAGAAACAGGAGGATCACAGTTCAAAGCCTGCCCAGGCAAATAGTTGCGAGACCGTATCTTGAAAAAACCCATCACACGCACAAAAGAAAAAAGGCTGGTGGAGTGGCTAAAGATGTAGGCCCTGAGTTCAAACCCCAGTACTATACACACAAAAAAATATATATATACTGTAGATTCTCCCTACACTAGTCTTCACTTTCCTTACCAGTCTTCAAGACTCAGTTTCCAAGAAGGCCTTTTCAAATTTCAGAGGACCCTTGTCTGGATCTGTCATAGCACTAGTCAATGCAATTTCTATTTATTCTTAGTTGTTCATAAACTGTCTATTCTAAATCCCCGTCAAATTCAGATTGTATGGGCAATTGCCCACACAGTGTAATTTGCCCACATTACACAGCATCAGCGAAAGTTCACTGAATGAATGAGACGGAGGATGAGGCAAAATGTAGGAGGCCTTGACTACCAGACTAAGGTATGGACCTGGCTAAGGCCTAAGCTGGTTCACTGACCTAGCCTAAGCTTTTTCTGTTCCAGGTGGCATGGTACAATGAACTCCTGCCTCCAGCCTTCCATCTGCCCCTGCCAGGACCTACCCTGGCCTTCCTGGTACTCAGCACACCTGCCATGTTTGACCGGGCCCTCAAGCCTTTCTTGCAGAGCTACCACCTCCAACCACTGACCGACCCCGTGGATCAGTGTGTGGCCTACCACCTGAGGAGTGTTACAGAGGTAAGCAAGACTCAACTTTACAAACTCTTGCTTCCATCTCCTCCACTCTCACTGCAGGATCTAGACTAGAGCAAGGAGCCACTTCATAGGTAAAATGATACCTCTAAATACAGCCTTGACATTGTGATTCTCCCTATTCTATCTTCTCATACCCATGTCCTACCACCTTCCTTTAGCAGTGTGAAATAAACCTCAGGCCAGCTTTGGCACCCAAGTGGAATAGGAGTTGAGCCAACATCCTCCAGGCATTGTTCAACTGCCTTTGCCCTGGACTTGCAAACTTTGTGGTCTTTGGATCCTTTTGAGGACAGTACAGTATTTCACCACCACAAACTCATATACAAATATTTGCACACACACTGGGTCTCCCTCACTGAAATTCTGTAAAGCAAGGCTAAATCACCTCCTAATAGAGGCTTCTGAGCAAGACCTTCTGTATTTCCTTTTAACTTTCTTCTACTTCAGTGCCTCCTAGGTTAAGGTCATGTTTTCCCTTTAAATAGGGCTTCTGGGCCAGGCACCAGTGGCTCTCACCTGTAATCCCAGTTACTCAGCAGGCAGAGATCAGGAGGATCACAGTTTGAAGCCAGCACAGGCAAATAGTTTGTGAGACCCTATCTTGAAAAACACCCTTCACAAAAAAGGGGCTGGTGGAGTGTCTCAAGGTGTAGGCCCAAAGTTCAAACCCCAGTACCACAAAAATAAACAGGGCTTCTGAGGACAGACCCATGTTAATAATTAGGGTTCCCTAGGACAGCCTACTCCCCTCATGCTAACAGGAGCTTGTATCTTATCCTGCCCCAGAGGTTCCCAGAGCTACAGATGGAAGTCATTGCTGACTACGAGGTACACCCCAACCGGCGTCCTAAGATTCTGGCCCAGACAGCAGCCCATGTGGCAGGAGCTGCTTACTACTACCAACGACAAGATGTGGAGGCTGATCCCTGGGGGACCCAGGTCAGAGGGAAAGTTTGAATGAGTGAGGACTATTGAGGGGAAATGTAAAAGCCCTTCAAGGTATTTCTATCAGGGACTGGAGGTGTGGCTCAAGTGGCAGAGTGCTTGCTTTGTAAGCCTGTAATCTTTCAGTTCAAATCCCAGTCACACCAAAAAAAGAGAAAGGTATTTCTATCAGGTCTCCCACTCTACCATCCTTTGAAGTTGTCACGTAACTCAGGACAAAGCAGGGGCCAGCCCCCTTACATGCTTTCTGAGGGTCACATCAGGTTAGAAAACCTTGTTCTTAAAACCATCTTACAAGACTATCTCAGGATGGAGAGGGCAGACAGGTATCAGGTAGGTGAGTGAGTGAACGTGAGACTGTAAAGTTGCCTGAGGATGCTTAAGTGAGTGCCTTTCCTCATGCTTAGAATGAGGTTAAGAAATGGTTATGCAGGAAAGAGGGACAGGTTTGTATGTAGTCAGTGTGCATTGAGTGGAAAGTGAGTAAGGATAGCTTACAGTGATGGTAGTGGGACTTGATGCTAAGGTACCTCCATGACCTTTTTTCTTTACCCTCTTCCCAGCGCATAGCAGGTGTGTGCATACACCCCCGATATGGAGGCTGGTTTGCAATCCGAGGGGTGTTGCTGCTGCCAGGAGTTGAAGTGCCAGATTTGCCACAAAGAAAGCCCCCTGACTGTATACCTGTGAGAGCTGATCGCATCACTCTCCTTGAAGGCTTTAATTTCCATTGGCGTGACTGGACTTACCGGGATGCTGTGACACCACAGGAGCGTTACTCAGAAGAACAAAAGGCCTACTTTTCTGCCCCACCTGCTGACCGGTTGGCACTATTAGGTTTGGCCCAGCCCTCAAAGGAGCTTAGCACTACATCCCCTGAGATACCCCTTACCATGCTCAGCAAGCCTCAGAATCCCAGCAGAGTGCGTAGCTGGCTTAGCCCCAATGTCTCACCACCTGTATCCCCTGGCCCTTGATACCGTCTTCCCCTGTGGGATCCCATTTATGGTGGTTCTAGGACTTTTGACAAAGCAAAATTTTATTTTGGGTACAAGATGATTACTTTTGATAATATAGTAGAGATCGTCAATGAGAGTAAGGCTCACCTAAAAGTTAGGTTTAGTTAAAACAAATCAAATACCAAGGTAGA